TATTATTGATGAAATTGGCGTATTATTGTCATGTTAACTATACTTTTAAATCAGTTATCAAGGCTTGAGTTCTATCTTTCGCGAAAGTCATGTTAAAGCTGGTAATTTTGGGAGCGAAATCATATAACAAACCCTACAACTTAAACATCAGGAAATATCAGTTTAAAAAGGAGAAAACTTCAATTCAGCCCGAAAATCCAAACTGAAAAATAAATGAATATTTAGATACAGAAACACACAAAATAATCTAAGCTCTGTGGCTTATACTGATTTCAGAAACGCGAAAATCAAGCTAAAATCCTGAAATGCTTCACAAAAGATATAATTTCTTTTTTTGTGTCGTAGATCGCGTATCTCTGTAGATGATAAAGCCATAATCCGTAAGTGATGAACTAGCGAAAAACACTAATTGTTGTAATAAGCGATTTAAAACGGTTAACTTCGGGTGACCAACAGACCAACACAATAGTAATAAAAAGACCCTGTTTTACATATCCGGATGTGGTTGGCGATGGCGAGCGAACGCAACCGCAAAATCCTAGCTTCATCCTATACGTTGGATGATACGCTGCAAATGAGATAGTCAGGACAGACCAAGTCGGAGTCTGCGCATTCGAATGACACCGCTAGGGATTAAGACGTTAGAGAAAAATATAAACTGGATGCACTTAAACACGGCTTGTATATAAGTAAAAAAATGCACGCTAAGTATAAAAAAGCAAGCATATTATAAAAAAAATGAAAATGATAAAATGCATGATAAGAAATAGAAACAAAAATCAAGTGCATTTAGAATACCAGACTGAGGAATCTTCAACACAGCCGTAGGAATGGACGGCCTTGTCCTCGCAGCCGCCGCGTCAGTGTCTCCTCAGAACAGGTACCAGGAATCGGACATCCCTGGCCGTTGTATCAGGGAGGCAATGAGGAAATCGCTATGAGGAGGAGGATATGAGAATATTTTACTATTTATATATACTTTCTGTGGCTTTCTTCTCATTTGGTCTGTGGCTGAATAAGCGAATTGGTTGTTTAAGCAATGGAATAAGTTGTTTTCGTCTTAATATTGACATTTTATTCCCCGAAAGGAAATTTTGAATATTTTTCCTTTGCTTTTTGGAGGATAAGAATGACTATGTAAATTAGAAAGCTTGTCATGTCAGACATATAAAAAGTTTCGAAAGCTTTATTTACATTCATTCATATTCCTAATAGAACATCCTTGTACCTTAACTCATCATCTTTAAAAATAGCCCATTCAGGCCACTATGCCAAGCCACCTAATCCTTCTCCTGCAGGATTTAATTTGCTCGCTACGTGAATCAAACCCATTTTCAGAAACCCTTTGCGCAATGACTCTACGGCGAACCTCCCGAGAGCATTCGAGACGAAGGTACGTGGTTGTCATTTGTCGATTACGTGACATCCAGAGGAGGAGGAAGGACCATCAGGGCGACTAATCCTAAAAGGGAACAGGCGATCAGATCTTGTCTTCCTTAATCCTCCTTGCCAATCCTTCCCCCGACGTAATCCTCACAGCCCAATCCTTCGTGGCGTCTCTGCGATCTGTTGGATTCGACGTCGATTAGGCGAACTTTTTTTTTTTTTTTTTTTTTTTTGTAATCTCTTCATTATATTCTGATTTCGATTTCTCTCTTTATCGACTATTGTTTTCTTTTTCATTATTTTAATTTTTTCTCTCTTTTTTTTTCTAAATAATTTTCTTCATTCCGTAATATTTTTTTTTTTTTTAGCTTATCTAAGGTCTCTATGTCTTTCTTTCCTTCATTAAAAAAAAAAAAAAAAAAAGAACAGATATTCCTAAACGATCATTAGATTTTCCAATTAAAGGAATTTCGAAACGCGCCTCCGGTTCCATCGCCTCTCGTGGATTACCTTCCATCCTCCGCCTCCGTTAACGCCATTTTTTTTCTTTTTATCGTTTTATCCTCTATCTCCATTCACCCTCCCCCTACCCCCTTGCCTGCTCCCCCTTCCTCTCTCTTTCAAGATTACCTGAATTAGGCCCCCTTCCTCCCCCCTTCTTCTCCTCCCCCCCCCTCCTCTCTCTTCTTCAATCCGCCTTTGGTACCTTTTCTGCTTCTCCCCCCTCCCCCCCTCCCCTCCCCTCTTTTCAGTTCCCGCTAAAGCACCGCCTAGGCCTATCGACACCCTCTCCTCCCCCTCCCCCCTCCCCCATCAAACTACTCCTCTCCTTTACTCTAACCTACCCCCCCCCCCATCAATCTACACCCTCTCCCCTCCACTTTTCCCCATATCCCTCCCCCCAACCCCCACCCCTTCTCCCTATCCCCTCCCCCAACCAACCCCCCTTTCTCCCTGTCTCCCCTCCCCTGCCCCCCAACCCCACCCCTTCTCCCTGTCTCCCTCCCCCCTCCCACCCCCCTTCTCCCTGTCCTCCCCTCCCCCCCCCCCTCCCTCCCCTCCCCCCTCTACCCCCTCCCTTCCTTCCCCCCCCCCCCTTCTCCCCATCCCTCCC